TTTGATCTAAATATTTAATTCAACTCGTTGCTATAAGTTAAGTCATGGGTTTAAAGTATTGATATGAAATTCACTATGATCCAATTTTTTTTTTTTTTTTTTGAAAATAGACAATGGAGACCCAAATCGAAATTTCTTGAACTGATTGAGTTAAATAAAATTCTAATTTTAATTTTAGTTCTTTAAAAAGCAGGTTACATCTGACCCAATGAATCCAATCCAACCTGTCTCCAAATTGAAATTACTTGAACTGATTGAGTTAAACAAAATTTTAATTTTAATTTTAGTTCTTTAAAAAGTAGGTTTTATCTTTACCCAATCAATCTAATCCAACCTAATTCAAGGTTTAAGTGAGTGGATTATGTGTCAACCATTTTAACCCAAAATTCAAAAGAACCAAATCCAAATCCATCCAACCCGACCTATTTATCAGTCTACCTATTGTTAATCTCCCTCCTCTTGGATTGGCAAATCAATGTTCTTGTTAATGTGAAAATGTGGAAGTGCAGGACTCAAGTTTAACAAGGATTGTAAAAGAATCACTGCAACAGCGTCGTATTAATGATATTTATCCACACCAGGGCTGAAACGCCTGAGACGCTATCTGCCCGACCCGACTAGAATTCTGAATTCCACAACTGCTTCTCCAGTTAACTACGTTTCCATCCGGTTCTTCCTCCTCCTCCTCCATCGCCACCGCGACCCACGAAGAAGCTGAAATGAGCACATCAATCTCTGCAATAAACACCTCTCTCTTGAAAATCAACACCACCTTGTTCTCATTCAACAGAAAACCCTCCACTTCCTTCACCTTCCTTTTCTCTTCGTCCCATGTAACCAGGAGAAGAAGACCAGTATCTCACATCTTTACCTCTAAGAATCCCTGCCTTACTGTCCGTAAGCATCAAAATTGCTTCACAATTTTCCTTCTTTAGCTCACTCTTTCATTGATATTATACTTTCTGTTTCTGGGTATCTTTCCTTTTTCTTTAAATGTTGTTTAATGCTGTATTTCATTTTTATTCAACTTTCTTTCATTTCTTTGTGATATTTGTCATCATTTGACTCAATTATATAATACTAAATCAAAATCCCTCTTAAACCCTCAAAGCAAAAACAAAATGGTTTGTTTATGTTTGTGAATTTATGTTGATTTATGGGTTACTGAAAAAAGAAGCTACTGTTCAGGTCCTCAAGCAAGCATCATTGCTGATGCTCAAGTTGAAGGTCAAGTAGAGGTTGAAGTTGCAGAAGGTTATACCATGACTGAATTTTGTGATAAAATTATTGATTTATTTTTGAATGAGAAACCTAGAGTAAAAGACTGGAGAAAGTACTTGGTATTCAGGGATGAGTGGAACAAGTATAGGGACAGCTTTTACAACAGATGTCGAACACGAGCAGACAATGAGAGTGATCCAGTTGTGAAGGAGAGGCTAATTTCTCTTGAGAGCAAGATCAAGAAGGTAATAACTGTGTTTTCTATCTCATTTGAATTGTGCTGTATGTTGTTTGTAAAGACGTGAATAACTTCTATAAAGGGAAATGAACTCACCCCACAAATAAAATTTGGTTGAGGAACTTAAGATTTGCGGCTATCAAAATCAGGAACAAGGTTAATTAAGATTCGATAATTTTCTCTTTAGGACTCTTCTTAGTAATAAATGGAGTGTAGAAAGTTTTTACCTGTATCTGCCTTTTGGTTTTAGAGATTGGTTTTGTTTAACCTGGACAGAGAACTGCAGATTGATGATGAAATGCAAAGGCACAGTGAGCTCCTTAAGGAATTACAAGACAGCCCGACTGACGTCAATGCAATTGTTGCAAGGCAGCGCAAAGATTTCACAGGAGAATTTTTCAGCTACCTCACTCTAATTTCAGAAACCTATGACAATCTGGAGGACCGTGATGGTAAGAATTATAATCTGTGAGACTGGCATTAGACTGGCATTGGGATTTAATGGATTTTCAGAAGTTGTTAATTCTAAAGTTTGATTTCCTAGAGACTTCAGTATATAGACAATGGCTGAATGCCTTATGAGTTATCATATCATTAAGAAATTAATTTCCATTGATGCTTTGCTAGAATTTTAGGAAAAGCAAGTGTGGTCTTTTGTTGAGTGATTTGAATAGGGACCCTTCAGTATATTCCATAAAAGGGTCCCTCAAGGCTCTAGCCTCTCTTTCATCCTGCTATTGCACTTGCTTAGACAGCTTTGAAATTTGTTTGAGCAGCAGTAGCAAGACTTGCAGCTAGATGCTTGTCTGCAGTCAGTGCTTTCGATAACACATTGGAGACTGTGGAGACATTAGATGCTGCCCAGGCCAAATTTGATGATATCTTAAATTCCCCTTCATTGGATGTGGCCTGTGAAAAGATTAAAAGCCTTGCCAAGGCAAAGGAACTTGATTCTTCGTTGATCCTATTGATAAACAGTGCTTGGGCTTCAGCAAAGGCATCCACAACTATGAAGAATGAGGTTTTCTTCTTACCTGAAGTTAAGATATGTTGGTCCTTTTCTTGAGTCATTGCATCTAACAACCTATGAAATTATCAAAAATATGTTTGCTTGGTTAGCTTTGCTGAAATTTCCCCTTCTCTAGTTTCCCTTGTTTGTCTAAATTTTGCTGTTGTGTTACTGTAGGATTTCATTTTTATAATCTGCAGTATTATGTTGTGTGCCTTATAGCTTGAGCAGGGATAACTATTTGATCTAGCAGTAAAAAAAAAATTAAAAAAAAATCCTTAGATTCTTGGAAGCTGCAGGAAGAATATAGGGTGGAATAATGTCAAACATGTTCAATATTCTACTTTAAGATCATTGCTTTCTACTATTAGCATTGATTTCTAAGGTTGGTCTAGAAACTACATCTCGTTAAAGACACCTCCATCCTCTGTGTTTGGAGTAAAGTTTGCAACTCTGTGTTGTAACTAAAGGATAGTTGCAATAATGCTTTTGGGTGACGGCTTTAGTGATGTTCTTTATCAGCATCTGTAATGCAGGTAAAGGAAATAATGTATAGTTTGTACAAGGCTACAAAGAGCAGCCTTAGGACCATTGCACCAAAAGAAATAAAGTTACTCAAGCATTTGCTGAACATCACAGATCCTGAAGAGCGATTCTCTGCATTAGCAACTGCTTTCTCCCCAGGTGACGAGCATGAAACAAAGGATCCGAGTGCCCTATACACGTAAGATGACTTTTTTCCTCACTAGATCATTGTCATACCTTTTGATTCTAAAAAATTTTTGTGCTTTGTTCGTAGTATATCTGTTTCTTTCTTCTGACCTCTTCCTGGTTGCACTGTAGTACTCCGAAGGAGCTGCACAAGTGGATCAAGTTAATGCTTGATGCTTACCATATCAATATGGAGGAAACTGACATCAAGGAAGCCAAGAAGATGTCTCAGCCTGTGGTTATGCAAAGACTGTTCATCCTCAAGGAAACCATTGAGGAAGAATACTTGGAAAAAAGCAGCTTCCTAACTCAGCAAACCAAAGAAATAACTCAATCTGAGGACATATGAAGCTGAACCCAAAATTTCAGCAGTATATACTACGTGTATCACGGTCATATCTTTGCTAGCCAGGGATAGATAGAACCATGTACCATTGTAAATTGTAAGTTGTTTCTCCCATAATCAAATGCTTTTCTTTTTCACCAAAGTAAGTGTGTTTTAAGATTAGTGTTTATCAACAGAGTTCTAATAAAATGAGTAAAAACATTCCAAAATCAAAGCTTAATCATTTTAATAAAGTATAAGGAGAAAATGCTCTAAAAATAAGTTATTTTAGTTTTTTTAATGAGAGTTTAAAGAATATAGTTTGAAGAAAGTGTAGTAAGGTTTAGATTATATTAAATTGCATTACATTAATCATTAGATGGGAGTAGGTACTCTAATATTAAAGGCCTTCCTCTTTATCTAAAGGTCCATTTTTAACAATTCAATGCAATCTAAATTATAAAATAGGTTTTTCATTAATTTTAAGTTTTTTTAATTTTTTAAAGGTTTGGTTGATAAACACTTGTCTCTATATTTTTGGAATTTTTTATTAAACAATGAAATAATTGTTTAATGGCATTCAAAAAATAATTTTTCTAACTAGTATCATCTGTATACAAGTTAATAGTAATAAATATATTTTTTATCATAAATTTTTGTTGAAAAAACAAAATTAATTTTTAATTTATTAACTATTTAATTAAATTCATTCATATAATAATATATTAAAATTAATATCAAATATTATACTTTTTATATAAATTTATGTTAAACAAGTGTACTAAGCAGACGTGATAGAAAAAGTGAAAAACCAAAAAAAAGAGAATTTTGAAACCAAAGCCCATTAGTTCAAGGCCTGGACGGAAGAAGAGTAATATTAAGGCCCATTTCATCAAGGACCTGACGTTTATTATTAACATTGTATACTTCCAATCTCCAATCTCCACCGTTGATTTTTCTTCCGTAACAAATCCCTGACCTCTCTGGAGTTTGTTTGACCGCATGTTTCTTCCCCTCTTGTCTTGTTGCCCACGAAGCCTAACCAAAGACTAAATATAATTATTTTCCTTCTTTACCCTCCCAACCTTGCCAAGTAAAGCCTCACAAAACCCCAAGAGGAAGGCCAAAACCGTCATTCGAAAATAAATTCCATTCCTTTAAAATCCTCTCCGTCTCCGGGTCTAAAACCCTAGGCTTAAACCCTTCGGTTTTCAACATTTCAGCGTACATAGATACCCACTATGGCCGCTTCTCTTATTCGCCGTTCTCTGCAGCGTCGCGATCTTCAAACTGCTACCTTCTCCGCTTGCAGATCCGTATGTTCTCTCATATTGCTTTACTCATTTCATTTCATACATAAAAAACTATAGTGTATATATGTGTTTGTTTTTTGATATTGGCTGTATCTTTTGATTCGATGTCTTCAATGTCGATTTGTTTTCTGAATGATTTTTTCTTTGGTACATAACTCTTTGTCTTTGGCATCACAGAGGTTGAAACTCTGAACTTGACTCACAAGTCAAGGTTTTTAAGTTAGTGGGTACTAATTCTTTCAAATTCTTAGTCTGAACGAATATTTTTTATGTTACTTTGTATTCGCTGCAGATTTTCATCTTTAGGTTTGGTCTTGTGTTTCTGATTTGAAATTGTATATTGAATCCATTAACTGGTTTGTTTACTCAGTACTGGGAAATCACTGGTTGTGAAGATGAATACTAGAAGGAAGAATAGGGTCATGATTAGTAACCAACCACAGTAGAAATTTGGATTTGGAAATGAAAAATGGGATCTTTTTTTCCTCCAAATGAATGATTACCATCTATTGTCAAAGGGGATGAGCTTTAATGACACCAGAGATAAATGATGCCTTCTCGAGGCATATGGGTTGAAGGATCGAAGATTTTGCTTCTTATGTTGGCCTTTGAAGATTCTGTTTCATGTTTGAATGTACTGTTATCTCTTTTTTTTTTTTTGCAGTTTTTGACCTTTAAGTCATTGAGTTGATTGGAAACATATTAGAATGCTCTTCACATTTAATTTTAGGATTCTTTACTCTCAGATTTTGTGGATTCTGTAAGAAATTGTACAATTAGGATATTCCTTAATTGATTTTTTGTTATTATGGTATAGTGTAATCTTACCAGTGTCATATTTCTCCCATAGTTTTCTGGCAATGCAAGGGCATCATTGGCAAACTCACCTCTGGTTAACAGATGGGCAACCCTGTCAAGGCCTTTCAGGTATTCATTTTGTGTTTGTTGTTTCTGTAAAACATTAAACATTCTCCATCTTAAAGCCTACTGTTCGCTGAGGTTTTACTATTTTGACCCTGCAGCTCAAGGCCTGTTGGCAATGATGTTATCGGCATTGATCTGGGAACCACCAATTCATGTGTATCAGTGATGGATGGAAAGGTAAGCATCCATTGGAAGGCACTTTTGATTGGAGAAGTTCCATTTTTGTACTAGATTTTCATACTGCTCTGTTACATTCTGCAGAGTGCTAGAGTAATTGAGAATTCTGAAGGAGCCCGCACTACACCATCAGTTGTTGCCTTCAACCAACAAGGAGAGCTAATTGTTGGGACTCCAGCCAAACGTCAGGCAGTAACTAACCCTACAAACACTCTTTTTGGAACCAAACGTCTCATAGGTCGGCGTTTCAATGATCCTCAGACACAGAAAGAAATGAAAATGGTTCCTTACAAAATTGTTAAAGCTCCCAATGGAGATGCTTGGGTTGAAGCCAATGGGAAGACATATTCTCCAAGCCAAATTGGTGCATTTGTTTTGACAAAGATGAAGGAAACTGCAGAGGCATACCTTGGGAAGACAGTGTCAAAAGCTGTGATTACTGTTCCAGCTTATTTTAATGATGCACAAAGACAAGCAACAAAGGATGCTGGTCGAATTGCTGGGCTAGATGTTCAGAGGATTATCAATGAACCAACTGCTGCTGCACTTTCCTATGGGCTAAATAACAAGGAGGGTATCATAGCCGTGTTTGACCTTGGAGGTGGAACTTTTGATGTTTCGATATTGGAAATTTCAAGCGGTGTGTTTGAGGTATATGCCTTTTCCCTTAATTCTTGATTTTGTTTATTACTTTGTTGAGTCCAGTTATGTAACAATCTCTTTGTCAGGTTAAAGCTACAAATGGAGACACCTTTTTGGGAGGAGAAGACTTTGATAATGCACTGTTAGACTTCTTAGTGGATGAGTTCAAGCGGACAGACCACATTGACCTATCAAAGGACAAGCTTGCCCTGCAGAGGCTTCGAGAAGCTGCAGAAAAGGCAAAGATTGAACTCTCATCTACATCCCAGACTGAAATCAACCTACCATTCATAACTGCTGATGCATCTGGAGCTAAACATTTAAATATAACTTTAACCAGATCCAAGTTTGAGGGTCTAGTGAGCAGACTCATTGAGAGAACAAGGGACCCATGTAAGAACTGTTTGAAGGATGCTGGGATATCCCTTAATGAAGTAGATGAAGTTTTGCTTGTTGGAGGAATGACACGTGTTCCAAAGGTGCAAGAAGTGGTAGCACAAATTTTTGGAAAAGCTCCAAGCAAGGGGGTTAACCCTGATGAGGCTGTTGCAATGGGAGCAGCAATTCAGGGTGGCATCCTTCGAGGTGATGTTAAGGAGCTGCTTCTGTTGGATGTGACCCCTCTGTCACTTGGTATTGAAACGCTAGGTGGAATTTTCACAAGGTTGATCAACAGAAACACAACCATTCCTACCAAGAAATCACAGGTCAGTTCTTTTTTATTTTTTTATTTTTTTATGTAATGCATTGATATCAGATGATATGGAGAAAAGGAAAGTGCATTTTAACTGATATCTCTAGAATAGGTGTTAATATTATATTTGTCATATGTAGTGACAGTCTAGAAACAGCAAAAGCTTCTCTTTTTAGTGTTGAAAAGCAATTATGTTGCTTTCCTTCCCCTTGTATGGTATGCGGCTATACTTGCTGGGACTGATGACACTTGGGAACTATTTTTGTGTTGTCTTTCTTAAGTAATATTGTCAGTTTAAAGAAGATAGGTGCTAGTAACTTGCTATTTCTGGGCACATGTGTCTGTGAAGAAGCAGTATGAGTACTCTCAGCCATTCTAGTTTCCTTCTTGATATATCTCTTGGACAACAAGTAAGACCAGTTTTTGTGCTTCTAGGTTTTCTCTACTGCTGCTGACAACCAGACTCAGGTTGGAATTAAAGTACTTCAGGGAGAGCGTCAAATGGCAGCAGACAACAAACTTTTGGGTGAGTTTGAACTTGTTGGTATTCCCCCTGCACCTAGAGGTCTGCCACAGATTGAGGTGGCATTCGATATAGATGCCAATGGGATTGTAACTGTTTCTGCCAAGGATAAGGCAACAAATAAAGAGCAACAGATTACAATCCGATCTTCTGGAGGACTTTCAGATGATGAGATCAATAAGATGGTCAGAGAGGCTGAAATGCATGCTCAGAAAGATGATGAGAGAAAAGCTTTGATTGACTTGAGAAATAGTGCTGACACAACCATATACAGCATCGAGAAGAGCTTGGGTGAATACAGGAGCAAGATTCCAGATGAAGTTACAAAGGAGATTGAGTCTGCCGTGGAAGATTTGAGGAAAGCAATGGCGGGTGATAATGCTGATGAAATCAAGGCAAAGCTTGATGCAGCCAATAAGGCTGTTTCAAAAATTGGAGAGCATATGTCTAAAGGCTCTGGGTCTGGTGGTTCTTCCTCAGAAGGGTCTCACGGTGGTGAAGAAGTTCCAGAAGCAGAATATCAGGAGGCCAAGAAATAGAGTTTCAGTATAACTGGTACCTCGAAAGTTGATAAAAACTTTACATTTTTTATTATTCCGGTTTTGTATCTAATTTAGAACAAGAGTTGAGAACTCTTCTACCAGATTGGGCACACGATCTTAAATTAACTTCATTGATAATATTTGATACAATTTAATAAAGTTTTGGATCCAATTTCTGGGATAACTTGAAGTTTCAAAGTTATCACTAAATGACTCGTCTCTAGGGGTGTAATCAAATTAATTCAGTCCTATCCCACCAAGCTTTTAATTAAATTAAAGATCATGTCTTTAGTAATGTGTAAGGTGAATGTTTGGTTGGCTATGGCTGGCAAATGGTAAGGATTTGATTAGAGCTCCATGACAGTGTCAGAGAGTACAGTAAGTGTATATAAGTCCATTATAAACCGTATATGTTGGTGTATATTAAAGGCCCTAAGTTTCACAGCATATAAATGGTGTCAGAATTTCCTTTCTACTTTACTGTTGAGTGGCATGGTAATATAGTACTTCTTTCTGTGTTTCTTAATTAAATAATAAATTATATAATAATAATAAAAAATTTCTTCAAACTCTTCTTTCTTCATTTTAAAATTTAAATTTAAAATTTTTAATGTGAAATTCATGTTCTTAATTACTAAAATATTCTTGCAGATGACTTCTTCTGGTGTTTGTTTGTCTAATAGTGAATGGCAATTTGTAGGTCCCTTTGATATCGGAAATCTTGGAAATCTTTTTCCCGAAGTTACCCATCATGAAGGGATATGATGATGGATATGGTCCACTCCTTGTTGGTATTTGGTAATTGCCAAGAAAAAATACTGTTGTTCTTGTAGATTACTTCAAAAAGGGGTTCGACCATCTCAAAACGGCCATGCGAGGAAATTACTTGGTCCATTGTTTAATCCCTTGGGAAAAGTTGTTGTCCCATTTACAGAATATTTAAATTGACTCCCTAACTACACCCCACAATTTGATTAACAGCAGCGTTTGCCTAGGCACATTCCCTTTCATTCACCTCTTGTTTTCTTCCCAAAAAAAAAAACCTTACGGTTCAACTAGACATGACAAAATGACTCAAAATGAGTTAAAAACTACCATCAATTTAGGATTGCAAAAGACCACTTTTTCATCTCAATGAATAGGGTATGGCTTTGCACCCTAGCATGATCTAACGATGATTGGGTGGTGCTTAAAGTTGAAGGCTTTTAAAAGGAGTAATAGGCCAAAGATATATTGCTAAAAAAGCAGGAACGGGGTTGGGAGCGACAGGGAGGGAGAGGGAAAATTGGCGTATGGTGAAATTAATAGCCGTTATGCATCAATCATCACTGCATCAGACAGAATAGTAGAGACTCACTCACATGCCAATGCCATCATTCTAAGGAAAAGAGAAGTCAATTGCTTTCAACTAATTTTTCTTTGATGATTGATTAGTCTCTGTACATGTTTCCTGCTTTTGCTTCTCCACCACCGTGAAAATCAAGAGGTGGCGTCTTGTATGCTACAAAATTTACCCCAATGCCCCCATTTTCATCCTGTTTCACTCCCCACTTCCTACTGCCTACAAACCTAAATCTCTAGTTCTAATTAATCCATCCACTTACCCACCTCACTCCTCCTCTTCACCATCTGCTGCTCTACAATAGCAGAAACTCCTCTCTTTGTACACGTTCTGCCAAAGCATTCTCTTCACCTGAAAAACCTTCCAACCAAAATCGGCCAGCCGATCTTGTCACTGAAAGGGGCAAGACAAAGCAAAGAAGAACTTGGATACCCAATAGTCTCTAGCAAGATCATACTTCTCTCGGATAAACCAAGTTTGGAATGCATACCCAGATGCTTTCAATAGATGGAAGGCTTGTTCAGAATCAACCAACAAAAGGTGACTGAACGCTATCGGCATCAGAGTCACTCTCGGAGGAGCTCCCTGAATCAGAACCTGCACATACCAAACCTAAGTTAGTATCCAAAATACTCACATTGGGATGAAAACAAGCACATGGAAAATCATTATATATGGTGAGACTAGAGACATACCACTAGAGGAGGAACCACTGCTGGAACTGGAGCCACTGGAGCTGCTAGACCTGCCACCAACAGGTCCATTAGCATCATCCTTCTCAATCTCCACGGGAGGATAATTCACCACAGGAACTTCATCGCCAATGTCAACATCTTCTTCCCCACCAGCAACTTCCCCTTTTTTGATTCTCTGTGCTGCTTCTGCCACTTCACTCCTTGGAGACTGCATAAGGCCAATGCGAATACCCATCAATAATTCACCACATAATATCAAAGCCACACACCAGAAAACCTAAACTTTTGCAATGCAATCATTTTCCTTTACCTCATCTATTTGAGCGGTGGACACCTGATTCTGCATAAGCTCTTGGCGCCTCATCTTGCTGACCATCTTCCTATGATTGCCCACAAATCTGTCAAGCTCCCAGAGCGTCTCAGTATCAATTGCCTCGATGTCGAGCTCAATTTCATCCCCGTCCTGAGCCAACTGCCCATTCCTCTTGCGCAGAATCTGTACAACCTGGGTCATCTTTTCTGGTGGCAACTCCTGCAAACACGACCCCAGCTTCGCCTTCTCCTCCAACGTCATCTCCCTCTTGTTTGGGTCCTTCGCCTTTGGCTTTGGCAACTTTCCCACTCTCACCCCCACCAAAGGAACAGCCAATTCAGCCTCCGGTTTCTTCACAATAGACATTGGATCGGGCCCTCTCCTTGCAGTCTCGTCGACCATAACAACTGCATTCTGCAGCCTTGGCGTTTCTTCCTTGAAGATTTTGCGCCTCTCATTCTCAAATTTATTAAATGCAGGATTGAACATTTGCTCAAACTGAGCCAATAAATGCTCCGCCATGGTATTCACATCGCTACCCTTAGGGTTGTAAGTTAAGGCATTGTTAAATGTCAATCTCACGTCCTCCGCAAAATCAACCGGTGATTCATAACCATTGCCATCGAGCCTCATTTTGATGGTGCCGAGATCCATTGGATGCTTAATTATCTGGTGATAATCATGGAGCCCTAACCCCACCACGTCCACCGGGGTGTTAAAGACCCACCCAAATTTGTGCTTCATCAATTTACTCAAGATCTGGCCACACCTCCTCATCATGCTCGCCACCATCTTCTCCATCACCGGCAACTCGACCAAGGGCCGTTTCGGGGTCGGATCTTTCCCGGTACCAAACGGGTTGCCCCGTTTTGTCCCGGAGCCTTTCTTTTTCTTGTCGTTACTTTTAGGCGGATCTGCAACATGGCCGGGATACTGCGGCTGTGGTCCGGTGGCGGAAACCTGAGAAGCCGGGTAAACAGATAGGGCTTCAAGGTCACCAGATTCGATCCGATTCCTTAAGACACGGATCTGTTCAAGCTCCAAAATCAGCCGTTGTTTAAGCTTCTTAATCTCACCCCTCCCAAACGCACTGAGGTTGAAGGTAACACGGCCTCCGAAATATGACTCTAGCCCCTCGCTTAACCCCAAAGCCTTCCGGGTCGGGTCAAACGCGGGTCTAAAATGGTTGTCAGCAGACAGATCAAAGGCATGGATCTGCCTGCCGGCAGCCGAAGTCGAACTCAGCATCGGATTTATGCTTCGATTGCTCTTGAAAGAATAACTGCCGGCGTCGTTCCTCCCGCAGACCTCAATTTCCCCCCAAGACGGCTCATTTCTACTAACCAAGAGCACTGATGCCATAAGGCAGCCGGATTCGGGGCCCCGGGTTCAGGCTATTTGCCGGGAGGAAAACGGGGGGATATCATAACAAACCAAAGAGTAATTGCAGCGACAGAGGGGAAAGGAGAGATGAGGGTTACAAAGACCAGAGCGAGGAACAAGAGCAGGAGAGCGTCGCTTCTTAAAGGCGTTCGCCAATCTGCTCGTGTGGGCCATGAACAGATCTACAGCCGTTGGTTTTCATCCGACGGTTCAGATCTGATTCCACTAGTTCCCGATCTGGAAGCCCTGACACCTGTCACGGACGGCTGAGATTGTTGTTGGACCACGTGACGAGTTGCCAGCCGTTGGTTGGAGTAAGGAAAAGGGTAATTTAGGGTCCAGTTATTGCCGCGCTCGGCAAATTGTTAATGCCACCAAAAGCAAAATATTTTTATCGTGAGTTCCATTTTACCCTTTTCTTCAAATAAAATCAATTGAAGTTTTTCTCTCTTCTTTTTTTCTTTTTTTGGGGTTTCTCTTTCTCTCTTGTTATTAGCTTTCCAACGACATTTAATAATGTTATTAAAAATTTCTTCACCCGAACATCAAAGATGTTAGGATTCCAATACCAAATCAAAATGATTTTAATACAAAATAAACAAATTTTGTAAATTTTAATTTTCATATTTTAAGTTTCACAATTAATTTAGTACATAATACATAATAAAATTAATACCAATATATGATTTAAATTGATAAAAAAATGGCAAACCCAAAAATATTTTTTTCTTTTACTTGTATTCTTTATTTTTTTGGTGCAACCAAACATCTATTTCACTTTGATAAGTGATTAAGCTATCAAAATATCCAATATCATTAGCAATTCAATCAACAACAAAATACCCACTCAAATTAACTCATTTGTACACTCTGCCTTAAATCCAAATTATTAAACACAACTCTTCCTCAAATATGGCACCATTGCAACAAGCAATGCATTGAGGATATTGACATCCCTTAAAGAGACGCCTTGCCAATAGAGGGAAGAAACCAAATTGGTCAATGACTTCCTTAGTGATACCATCAGCACAAGATCTAAAAAACAATTGATTTGGGTTGGATAAAGGGTAAAATGGTACTCTCAATAAAAAATTACTTCTACTTTTAGTGGCAATAACTCTTTTCTTTGTGGCAATATCCGAATCAGGAAATTTAGTTATTTTATTTTGGAGGTGTGAAAATGATTTTAAAAAATTTGGGAAGTTTATTTGAGGGGACATAAAATTTTTGGATAGGGGCAATCCAATTGGAGGGAAGGACGTGGAAAGTGGGTCCGGATTGGCGGGAAGGACAGGCGGAAAATATCTCTTTTGGTTGTTGTTTTGCGAAATTTTCTCCCGCCAATGTTGAGGGTCCCGGTCCCAGTCCCAGCTAGGTGAATGGCGCCACGTCGACAAGTTAGCAGTTTGATTCTGTGCTACGCATGCAGGGAGTGTCTTCCTTTGTATCCTACTTGTTAACGACAAGTGGCAAAAGCGTTAGATATTTTGGGCCTAATATCGTGTCTTATCTCACATGGGCCATAGCAATTTAGCAATCATTTTCGTTTCATTTCTTTTTTTGTTCTTGTTGCCAGAATAATTTCTTGGTTCGAAAATGAATTAATTCCATAAATATATTTTTTTAATTTAAATATAAAAAATTGATATCAACTACCAACTAATAGGGTGTCCCACGTTTATTAGAATGTTTTTTTTTTTAAATAGTGAAATTTCTTTATTTAATTAAAATATTGACAATGACTTTATAGTTGTTGTGAGTAGTTAATAAGATTTTTTTAGATGTTGTTGAAAACTTTTAGGCATGTAAGAAAAAATACAAAATTAAGAGAAGGTTTTGGGGAGAGATTAGGAGTGAGATTAGGTTTTTAAGTATTGTAATTTTTTGTTAATAATATATATATTTTTTGTTTCCATGATTTTTCTTTCACTTAAAAAGGTTTTTATGTTAGATTAAATATTTTTTTCTGTATTATTTTATCTCATCATTTGATTTACTTGTATAATTTTATGTTGATATTTTTCATCCATTTGGCCTTGGTATGAGTCAAGTTTCCAACAAGTAGAGCTTGGAAATAAGGGATTGAATTCCCAATACTATTTCCCTCGAGAGTTTTTCCCTCTTTTTGAAGGTATCTACTTGAGTTACGTTAATATTTCATCAGATTGTGCTTTGGTAGAGAAAGAGGACAATGCAGACGTGGTGGTTGAACTCGAATGAGTAGCAGCTAGCGTTCACCTCAACTATCATTAACATTGACTCGAAGTGGGTTGGGACTATTACTAGTCAATATGCTACTCTCACCAAAATCTAACGGTATAAATGTGATTACTTAGTAACTCCAAATTATCAAAGGGTAATTGTCTATTTTTATAGCTCTGTACACGCTCCTATGACAAATACTAACAGTAGATGGCTTGTTCTTTAAAAAAAAAAAAAATTGCAGTGGAGGTATTCTCTTGTATTTTGGTGCAATATGTTAGATTCCACTTGTAATTTTTACTTGTAATTTTTACTTATTAATGAAATCTTCTGCGTCTTATTAAAAAGAAAAAACATATAAAAAAAAAATCAATGAGAATAGATAAATAGTTTAACTAAAAAAAAATGAATTGGAAACATTATTTCAGAAAGGTTATATAATTTTGGGCTATATTATTATTTATTTTAGTTTGTAACTGCAGTCCTGACTTCCTGTTCATGAAAGTGACATGGTGCTTAAAAAAATTGTGTAGAACAGAAGCAGGAAAACACCTGCAGCACCAAAGGCTAGTTACGATACATGTAGGCGAAAACTCGAAATTGAATGGGCCTACATTTGTAGGTGAGGGCATGTTTTCATTGGGTCTGAAATAAAGCGAAATAATTATTGGGTGTGTAGGCCCAACCCGAAGTTATGGACGGATCAGTTTTTTTTTTTTTTGGGACACAAGGAATGGTTAACTGTTAATGTTAGTATCTGTTCTGGTGAACGTAGAAAGAGTCGGGTGATCTCCACTTTGCTCTCCATAGAAGGAGTGCGGCACAACCAGTGAGCCATGTAGTGGAGTTCATGGGCCGATCAATTTATTCTGTTACTTGCTTGGAGTTTGAAATTTTGCACAAAAATAAGGATATATATTTTTTTATTTTTTTAATTAAGGATATTTTTTTATTAATCAAAAATAAAATTTTTTATTGAAAAAAATTTTGTGTTGAGATTTTGATTTATATTTGTTATTACTAAAGTTATATATGACTCAAAAGTTGTTTTTTTAAATATATTTTTTAAAATTTAAAATGAATTAGTGTTATTCAAATGAGAGAATGTTGAAAATTTTATTATGTAGATTTTTACTAATTATATTTGGTTTTTTTAAAATTAAGTCAAAGAGAAAATTGATAAAACTTAATAAAATTATTTAATTCAAATGAGTTTAAATTTTATTTTAATTTTATATAGTAATATAAATAAATATAGAATCCAAAATTAAAGATAAGTTATTTGATAAAAAAATTATTATAATAAATTAACTCCTCTATTTCATTTAGAAAATCCTACATCTATAAATAATGGAGTTAGAAAATAACATAACTTATAATTATCATTATATAAAAGTTAAATAAAGAGAGAAAAATCTAAATCTTAATACTAATCATATTTATTTTGTAAGTGTTACATAAAATAATATTATAATGATTTTTTATGATCTCTAATAACATTATAATCATACATATTGATTATAAA